CCCCTGCGGGCCCGCCTGCGTCACATTCACATGCCGGGGCCTGACGGCTGTACCAGCCTGCCACGTGGCCTTGCCTGGAGGCCCCAGCCTCCCCGGAGAGTGCTGGCCGCAGCTGTGGCTGGCTGTGCCCGCTGACCTCCCAGCTCTGCCAGCCTGGACCTGCCCTCCTAAGGCCCGGCTGTCTTGTGCTCCGTGGGAGGGTGGAAGCAGGAGCGACGCCCTGGGCCCACCTCTGACACAGAAGCCCCCAGGCCAGTGCTCGCATGCCCACGGCAGGGCCCCGGGGCCACGTGGCTGGGCTCTCGGATGGCCCTCCCCAGTGCCAGCTGCAGAGGAGGGCTGGGGTGCCATGGGCTCAGCCACGCTCGGGTGAATCCTGTCTCCCGGCCCCGGCAGCTGTTTGGGGCTGTGCTTTCCCACTGAGGCTGCAGCTCGGTGGCCTACCGGTCTCCAGCACCCAGGGACCCAGGGCAGGGCAGGTGGCTCACCTGGAAGGCCGCGAACCACATGAGCCAGTCAAGGCGGTAGTGGTAGGGCGTGATGAGGCAGGGCCGCCTCCGGGGGTCCCCTGGCTTGCACTTGAACTCGTAGTCCTCCCACACGGCATCTGGGGCGCTGGCGTTGGGGCTGGTCGTGCCCTGCAGGATCACCTCTGTCCGTTCCCTCGTGATGCTAATGGGAGGCCAAGTGAGGCCTGGTGGTCCACGCCCGACTGGCTCCCCATGGAGAACCCGGCAACCCACCCCCAGGGTCTGGGGTTACTTAGAGGTGGGTTCAGTGCTCGGCCATGGCCCAGTGGCCAGGGTGTGGACAGGAGGGCGGGCCGTGCCTAGGGCCTTCTCCTGGCAGGGAGCCCCGCCTTGCCCTCTGGGATGGTTAGGGTACCCTGAGGGGTCAGGCAGCGTCTTGGGGGGCCATAGGCACTGGGTTCTCCTAAGTGGGGCTCCCAGGGAGTGTGGTGGGGCCTTCAAGGCCACGAGGGAGTCTCAGAGAGGGCTGCTCTATTGCCTGGAGCCAGCGGTGTGGGGCCCCTGGCCCTCAGTGGATTCCAGGGCGCCCTCAACTCTCCAGCATGGGTGAGTATGAGTGGGGACAGGCAGGGGGCAAGGGCTGGGACTGCCCGGCCGGGGGTCAGGGGCTCCTGCTCTCTGGGCTGAAGCAGGTCCCAGCCTCATCATCCCAGGGAGGGCCACAGGGGCCTTCACCTGCCCCAGCCCCTCCACACTGGCCTCTGGGCCGGAACAGCAGGTCTGCCTCCTCTGCTAGCCCCCACTGGCCCTGTGGGGGCAGGAGTGGGGCAGGGGACCTCCCGACAGGGTCACTGGGCCCAGGGCAGACAGGAGGGCCAACGCTGCCCAGACTGAAAAGGTCAGCGAGGCTGGTCAGGGATCTGGGACTCGATGCCCACACGGTGCTCAGGGCACAAGGGCAAGGAGCCCCCAGAAGGCCCTGAGAGTCAAGAGCCCCCACAAGTCAAAGCCCCCCAAGGCGAGGGCCCCAGCCTGACCTGCCGAAGGCCCCGTATGTGTTGACGATTCGGAGGGGGCTGAAGGAGGTGTTCATGACCTGCTTAGAGCTCAGCAAGTTCAGGACCACAGGGACACTGAGCCAGGCCACGAGGACACCCAGGGCCAGGTTGACCACCCGCCGCACCGCAGGACCTGGGTCAGGAGAGGGAGAGAGGTGTGTGGCTGGCCCCCCTCGTCCTGAGACCCAGGCCCTGGGAAGGAGCAGGACCTGGTTCTTGGGGTGCTCAGGTCCCACTGGCACCCCAGCATGCCATGAGTTCGGGGTGGGGGGCATATGGCTCTCTGGCCCCACCTACCGCGTCTGGGCGCCGGCCGGACCCCGCAGGCCTCCTCCTCCTGGATGGTGTGGACTCGGTCCTTCAGGCCGCCTGGCGTGGACGGTAGCAGGCGGCCCAGGGCAGCGTCGTCGAAGCAGGCCAGGCAGGGCACCATGGTGAGCCAGTTGAGGAAGCTCAGGTTCCCGCTGACGATGAGCACCACCTGCAGGGCCGAGTCTGAGCTGCCGCCAGCCAGGGGCTCTGGTCCCGCCCCCGCCGCGCCCCGCTGGCCAGCCACTCCTGCCGGATGGAGGCCAAGCTGCACCCCGGCCAGCCCTTCTGGAAAGCTCCTCCATGCCGCAAGGAGACAGTGGCTAGGCTTTCTCGGGGGAGAGGGAGGCCCTGACTGGGCCCGGAGCCCAGGCGGAGGGAGGAGGGCTGTGGCTGGGAGGGACAGGTGAGGGCCTGGTGCCCACACGGCTAAGCTGGCTCTGGAGGGAGCCAGGACCAGGACACTGGGACGAGGAGGGCCCAGGGATGCCCGGTAGTTCCGGGAAGGGAAAGCCGGAAGACGGGGATGAGACCAGGACCCGGTGGCTGCAGAGGGACAGTGACGGGTGGCACGGGCGCCACGGGCCAGGACGTCCTAGAGGGACCCAGAGGAGACACGGACAGGGCTCACAGAGGAACCACGTAGCCACAGGCACAGCAGAATGCCGTGACGCTGGACACCTTGAGAAAGGTGACGGCCTCCGAGCTGTCACCCGGAGAGACCCCGCGCTCCCTGCAGTCGCCAAGCGAGGGGGCTGGCCTCTGGCTGCCCAGGGCCCCGCGGCGGCTCTGTGGGGCCTCAGCCCGAACACTGCGCATTACTGCGGTCGGGGCGCAGACTGCACCTTAAACGCTGGGCTTGGCTGGGGCCCAGGGCGGCCGCCGAGGGCCCC